GAAGGAAATGCGCAAAACACATGATCATATCGACTGCCCTGGTGCGCCGTTATTTATTTTCATGAGAGTGCAGTGGCATAACGAAATGCAACTCCCCGTTCGTCAAGTTAGGCGTCACGTTCCGATTCCATCCATGAGCCGGTTGCTCAGCTGTGCTTTAAAGTCTTATATCTCCATTCATGTTGGAAATGCTCTCATTAATCATTTTTTGCACATTAATCCAGGCTGGAACGCACCTGCGGGCCAATGCAATCGTGCGTTTTTGCACTTTTTGTGCTGCCGCAAGATCGAAAAGAATCACAGTAGCAAGCCCTGTGATATACAGGCCCTCGAATTTCGGGAACTTAATTGTGCTGCTATGTGGAATTCAGTTATGGATGTCGACTTCAGTGACCCGACAAATGGAAAGTTACTGGTCGGCGAAAAAGTCCCACTAGAAGAGCTAAATTTGAAATCTTTTAGTCACACATGAGTGAGGAACATTCCTTTAAAATTAAAGCCTTCCAGCCTTCTTGTTTCCGAGCTAGCAGTTTCCTCACCGAAATTCTCACGTATTCATACGTTAGTCCCAGGCGGTTCTAAGGAGCTGGATTTGAAATCTTTTGGTCGTACATGAATAGGGAACAGTTCCCCAGACTTTTAGCTTTCTGGCTTTTATCGTTCTCTAGCTAGCAATTTCCCCGCCAAAATTTTCATGTGCCCATACGTGGGTCCAGGCGCTTCTAAACAGGTGATTTCGGTCGTACATGAGTGGGGAACATTCCTAGTTTCCGCTCTCTGAATTTTCTCCTTCCTGAGTCGGTGATTCCCCCACCAAAATTCCCACGTGCCTATACGTGAGCCCCAGGCAGTCCTAGGCAGCTGAGTTTGAAATCATTTTGCCATACACGGGTAAGGAACAATATCCTAAAGTTTCAGCTTTCCAGCTTTTGTCGTTCCCGAGTTAACAATTTTTCCACCAAAACTTTCACGCGATCGTACGCGGGGCTCAGATGTGTGTGAAGGTTGTCCCGCGGTCGACTGGGCTGGCAATTTGCCGGTGAACACACTGGTAAAATTTCAGCTTCAGAGCTTCCGAGGTTGGTGAGTTGAAATACCCAGACAGACGAACACACACACACACACACACACACATACACACACACTGATAGGGTCGTTGCAATACACATCTTTGCTACCTGTTGCAGCGACCTAGTGCTGCACGGTAAAAACACATAAAATAAAAAGAGCACCATCGACCGGGACAGTGATGCTGCACTGTGGACTTTGTCGTATTTCAGTCTGAGGGAGGATGCCGGCAATTTTGTAAACGGAACTTTGGCGCGTTCGCATCCGACGATGACTCGGAGTGGAACTCATTTTGCGCTTGGAGACTTATTTTGTCTCTTGTCAATACGCCTTATATTTTTTAGCGAAGAAAAAGCGCATAAAAACTCGTAAAAAGCAGTTCTGGGACACAACAGGTCGCACTCGCACCAATGAATTATCCAGTTTTTTCTCAGGATAGTGCCAAGGAGCCTAACAGCAATTTCTGCACCAAGAAATAGGCTTCAGGGTACTCAAAAAATCAAGAAAGTAAGCAAACTTCAGAAACGGCCAGTTTTGTCAGCGTGACTGTAACGCATATGAAACTTTTTTTTACTTTATCTTTTTCTCAAAGGAAAGCAATGGTTATTCACAAATTTTTATGCGTTTTTGCCACGCAGCGCTAAAGCGCTGCAACAGGCAGCAAAAATGCATATTGCAACAACCCTATCAGTGTGTGTATATGTGTGTGTGTGTGTGCGTGTGCGTGTGTGTGTGTGCGTGTGTGTGTGCATTTTCGTCTGTCCGGTATATCAACTCGCCAACCACGCAGGCTTTGAAGCTGTAACTTTGTCAGTATGTTCCCTGGCCAAATACCGTCCCAGGACTGCGGCACCAACCCTCGCGCATGTTTGAGCACTGTGTATGGCGACGCGAAGGTTTTGGCGGGAAAATTGCTAACACGGAAACGAGAAAAACAGAAAGCTGAAACTTTAGGGGAATGTTCCCTACCCAAGTATGACTAAAAAATTTCAAATTCAGCTGTCTAGACTTGTATGGGACTTACGTGTGGAACGTGAAAATTTTGGTCGGATAACTTAAAAATGAAAATCAAGAGCGTTGAAACTTTGGGAAAAAGTCCCCTGTTCTCGTATGATCAAAAGATTTGAAATTCAACTGCTTAGAAAGGCCCAAACTCACATACACGTGGAAATTCTGGCAGGAAAATCACTAACTCGAGAATGAGAAAGGTCGGAAAGCTGAAAGTAATGTTTCTTGTACGACAAAATTTAGCTCTTTAGAGAAGCCCGAGATCCACGTACGGGTACACAAAAGTTTCGGCAGCAAAATTACTAACTCGGGAGCGAGAAAAGCTAAAATGCTGGAATTTTAAGGGAATGTTTCC